GTGAGCAAGCTTTTAAATATTTGATACAATTTGCTCTTCAACGATGGTTTTTTTGTTTTCTATGTATGTTGTTGTATGAAGGAAACGTTCAAATTAATCAATTAATGTCGATGATTTCGAAAATTATATTCTTGCAAAAATAAAAATAACTTTCAAGGAAACAAAATACAAAATAAAATAAAAAATTACCAACAATTTGGATAAAATAATATTTATAAAATCGATCTGCAAATATATTTGTAAATATAAAAATAATAAAAAATACTTTTATAAAGTTACGAAATTAGATTATAAAATATTTGCTTTTGCTTGTAAATAAAAGAAAATGGTTCAAATTTTCAATACAAAAAATGCATTGAAGTATAAAATCAGTTTAGTTAGTTACCTTAAGTAACTTGAAAAGAAACTAAAACCGAAATGAAAGGAATAATTCAAAAAAGGACATTTCCTTTGCAACACATATTGTCATGAACTATAAACTGAGCTTATTTTGTATACAAATTTAAGAAACTCATTGTTTTTAAATTGTAGCTTAAAAACACGACCTATGGCTTTAAAATAATGTCAGTTACTAACGTTATATATATAATCTACTCTTTGAAAATATCTGACTATGAACTATGAAATTTGAAAGGAATTTTGTCTGAATCGTAATCATCTATTCTACTATATATGGTTAAACAATTTAATTGAAAATATGCAGCTAAGACCAAATGGTTTTAGAAAGTCAGCACATTTTACATAGGAAAGCTGAAGGAGCTTAAAATAATTTATAATAACCAAAGAAGCATGTAAGCCCATATGCTCATGTTTAAAATTTCAAGCAACCGTATTTTTCAACCATTTACCTCATTGTGACCTGCCATTCATATTTCATGCTAAACATTTTCCCCAGTTTCGTTTAAAGTCACATAAGAGCCCAGGGAAATGTTTTTGCAGGGAGGGAGAGTGTGCGTGTGCGTGTGTGTGTGCGTTATTGTGTGCAGAAGGATTTTCTTGTAGTTTAGCTGGACGGTTGGTTGGCAGAAATAAACTGACCTTGCGGCATTTGCTGTTGGTGTTGGTGTTGTTGATGCCGCTGCTTTTGCTGTGCTTGATGTGCATTTCAGTGCTGTTAATAACTTTGGCCGTCTGCTGACGTTGCGAGCATAAACATTGAGGACAGAACATAGAAGTGGCTGATGGGCGGCTGAGCTGCTGCATCAAAAAGCATCAACGAAAATGTCCATAAAAAACAGACAGCTGTCGGGCTAAGCAACGCTTTTGTTTATATAGCTATGAAGGCGTAGTTAGGGAAGTGTGGGGATGGGGGTGTGTAAGTACACAAAACAAGAGATAGATAGAGAGAGAGATAGAGCTCGGCAGAATTCTGGCACGTGCCTTATGTACTCGTATATATACTTAGTATATGTATTTGGTTAAATATTTTTATGGCGGGCAGGCAGAAATGTTCGACTGATGAAGTTTTGTGGCTGCACATGTGGCACGTTTTATGTGCCACGACTGTAGTCTGGCATTGAGTGATTTAAATGTTCTGGCAGCGTAAAACTGCGGCAGCGATCGGCGTGCATAAAAATCAGAAATTATGGTGCTTTAACAATGTGAAATATTGTGCGCGTAGTTGGGTCAGTTGAACGGCAGCTGTTTTATTGACACAGCTGCCAACGAAGTGCAACAGCATGCTGCATAATAAAAGGCGCAGCTCAAGGGTGTCTATGTGTGTGTGTGTGTATGTGTGTGTGTGTCAGTTAAGCATCAATTGCACTGAATTTAATTTCTTGGATAAACGTTCCACTTGCCAAACGTCATCATCAACAGCAACAACAACAACAACAACAACAGTTTTTGCTGCTTCAAGTATTTCATCATCGACTGGCAGCGACTGTGCTTGCCTCTTCGGCAGATTTGCATAGAAATTAAATAGTTAAGGATTTTTGTTTCTTTTGTCCTTTTGTGCGCATTTTATTTATTTTCCACTATTTATCTTTTGGCTTGCGGTCCTCGCTTTCCTTTTGTCTGTATCTAAGCCGTTGCGCTGATTTGTCATGCTAAGCTGCCAATTGTACTCAGCTTTGTTTCTAGTTTTTTAATATAATATAAGAGCCCTTTAAGCAAACTTGTTCTATCGATTTTGTCTCATGCTTTTTGAATCACTCAGACGCTATTTACGATTCCTTTTTCTTTTATCTCGTACATAGTAACTATTCCAACATCAACGTGCATTGATGTATATGAAGCTATAGAATTACTTTTTTTTACCACTTCTGGAAATTATGGATACAGATATTCAAACTTGTGGCATAGCAAACATATGAGCTTTGGTTGTTCAACTTCATAATATATATTGATTTGAATAAATCTAAATGGACACCTTAAGAGATCAACGAAATATTTATAGCCTAACTGGCGAAACTCTAATGCAATTAACATAACAAAATTAATAATAAATATAAAACATGACAACATTTAATATGCACTATTTGGCAGTAATTGTGAAGTTTACCTCAAAAATATTGGCCCTTTTTTTTAATGTATTACTTTTATAATAATAATTTATTTTAAAGACCTTTGCCTAAATAGTAGACTATAAACATTGCCTGCCCCTATGTAAAGTAACTCATATGTTTTCAAAGGAAACAAAATATATTCTTTAGTTCAGATAAAAGTGTCATAATTGTAAGACGGGGAAAAGACATATTCAGTTTTTCCTCTTCATTATAACGTTAAGTAAGGTAATTGTAAATTATCAAGGAGGACGTTGCTCATCATCCCATTTATGCTTCCAAGATCCATTGTGATGATAAATTATTATTAATAATATATTATTTATAGTTAGACGACTAAAATTTTTTGAAAGATTTGATAGTGATAGTGATTTTGGGAACAGCAAACATGACCAATTAAAAAAACTTATGTTTTATTTAAGCTTGTTTGCATTTTTGTTGGAACAGAAAAACAGTCTTTTCCTTTCATAGATATATTGAATGATATATCATACTGTTTTTTTCTATATTTAATATAAGCATTGAATTCATGCAGGCTTAGCAGCTTTATAATTAATTTTTACAAATATAAATAGCTTAACCTCGAGCACTTCCGTGCGAGGATTAATATCGCACATATATCAAAAAGTAAATGTCATATAATAATTATGGTTTTATATTCTCAATGCGCTTAGATTTTCATTTGAGCCTCCCAGTAATATCCACCGCTAGGAGTAAAATCTCACCAATGCTCGATTCCACTCTGCAAATGCCAGACATATTTTTAACTTAATGGAAGAAATGCACTGTTTTTAATTTCACGACTGGCAGCAACATTTTCATTGGCCGTTGTGCGGAAGGGCGATCGGGTGTTGTTATCTCCAGTTGGTCCAATTGGATAGCGACGAGAAGAAGAAACGTTTTCTTTTCCTCGAGTCAAATAGTTTGGGCAAATTGGAATTGAAATTGTCTGCGAGTCTCACAATTCCATGAAGAGTTTATTTTTTTATATTAAAAATTCCATTAAAATTGAGATAATGTTGTTGCTTGCAAGCAAACATCATTTTATCAATATTTTGTGTTCAACAACATGTCTTTCCAGCTCTTGCATTATTTTTCAACTCATCGTTAACCGACTATTTGCCAGCATTTTGTCATTGGTCTGCTCTCTCAACACTTTCTGAGGTTTCATTAATAACTTGCTGTCAGCTTTAACTTTTGACTTTGGCCCGCAGTGTTCATCCATTTATTCATTCGTTCAGCACTTTCTAATTTTCAGTTTGTCAATCACTTGTCGTGCTTTTTGCTTTGGCAAGAATTTATCAAACAATTTGTGGGACGGCCGAGAATAGCTTTGCAAATATTTTTTGTGTGCCATAAATATGGATTTTGTTTTTGCATCTGAAAACATTGTGACATTTTGCGGAGCGCTCCCAAGCGCAAGGCAAGAATTTGCACATGGAAATTTGTAAAATTTATATGCGTTCTTGGGCAAGCAAATTAAGAGAGCATTACTGTTGGTTGGCTTCGGCTCGTTTTCGCAAAGTTTTGTGGCTGATGGCACGTTTGCAGCATGCCACAAAAAGTAATTACTTGCAGCAAGTGCTACTTCTAGCTTGTAGCATATTTCTTGTCTGGTTTTTGTTTTTTGGTTTTTGGTGAGGCTCCGATGTCCGAGGCATGTGGCAGACAGAAAGCAGAAGATGCACGTTGCCGCCTCAAGCGATTTGTCTACGTGGCTTCCGTCTGCATTTGAGTTGCAATAAAACGCACACCAAACACACACATACACAGCACCATATGCTGCCTCTGGACGCTAAATCTTGTGCAAAGGTTGGAAAATTGAAAAATTTTCTACAGAATGCCAGCGGGTCTCAGAAGTGCGGATGTGTGTGTAACCAAGTTGCTAAAAGTCAAGCGTTGTGCGTTGCCGTTAATTACTGTACACTGGCTATTAATTCAGCTCGACCCACACTGCGTATGCGTAATATTTGTGGGGATTTGAACATTTTGGCCCTGGGCTTAGAAAACACTTAAAAACAACTTAATTAAACTTTCATTTTGGATTTCCTACCCACACACCACACACAAAGTAAATAACATCGAGAGGGATAAATGAAAGCGAACATAGAAATGTGCAGAGCGAAAAATTTCAAAGCTTGTAATCTATCCGTTTCTAATTTCCCCATGCGTATATGCAGGCAACATTTTGGTATTAAAACGATTGCATGAAGCAATTCTAAATCGAATAATTCTGCAATCAAAACTGTATTAATTTCAAATAATTCTTGGTATATATTTTAGAATCCTCATGATTTTAACTAGACAAGGTAAATCGTAGACGGCTGAAGCGATGAAGCACGCATTGGAGCCTTCTCTAAAGGCTGCTTAACATTATGTTTAATTGGTTTGGAAAAATATGCTTTATATTTTTATTGTAGCTGCAAATTTTATTTAGAACTAATTGCCTCGATTAGAGACAGTTTTCTCACAGTGTACATATACAGACATACTCACTTTCATGCGCGGACATGGCCATAGGATGACGCGTTTATTATAATCATGAGCCAGTTGCTCCGCCAGCTGACAGTGACCCACGCTGCGGGCGTCCAACAGCTTCGACTGTTGCTCTTCCTCTTGCTGCTGTTCTTCTTCTTCATGTTGTTGTTGTTGTTGTTGTTGTGGATGCGATGATGTTGATAAAGCGTCTGCTGACAACTGTTTCAGTTTGTCCGTCGCTTGCTGGTTCTGGTTCTGGTTTTGTTTCTCTTTCAGTTTCTGCTGACGTGGCTCTTTAGCATTTGCCTTTGGACGCAAAGTAACTCGCTGGTTAGGGTCAGTGTCCCTCCCATTCCACCCATTTCGGGCAATTCCTCCAGCATCCGCCGCAACACTGCCATGCTCGTCAGCGGCGTCATTGAGCCCGGTGTCTACATTAATGCCCGCATTTAAAGTCTTTACAACGGTCGTGTATTTGGGTAGCTGGAGTAATTTAATGAAGCCACTTAAATCTGTGAGCGTTCGTGGCATCATTGTCAGCACCAGTATTGTTGTTGTACATGTTGTTGTTGTTGTTTTATTGTTGTTGTCAGCAGCGGACAGCAGCAACATCAGGAGCAACATCAGCAGCAAAAAAGTGAAACGAAAGAGAAGAGCAGAGTAACAATTTATAAGATGTATGTATAGTATACTATGTGTAGAGTATAAAAAGCGTTGCATATTTTATTGAGTGTGAGAGGGGCGTGTATGAGTACGAGTACGAGTTTGTGTGTGTCTGTGTGTATGTGTGAATGTGTGTGTGTGAATATTTTATGACCAAGTTCAGTTTTAAACGAGGCACCACCACTTGGTCGTTGAGGCTTCTATGCGGCTGGCAAATGGCTCGTTAGTGGCTATATAAGAAAACAAGTTTACGATCACAAAATGTATATTTAAATGAGCTCAGCTGCATACTTGTAGTTATGTGTTAAATGCTGCCAAGTTCCACTAAAGGTGAGAACTATGCGGGTGAATATTCAACGGTGCAATTAAATTTCATATTTACTTTTCCTCTAACAATTATCAGATTAAATGTAAAGACGAAGCTTTTCTGATCAGTTATAGAAGTTTATTTAATTGGTCGACATCGTAAGAATTAATTGAATGTGGCAATGCAATCATCTATTCAATCTATTTTTGGAATATATGGCAATACCTTGGAAAGAATTTGTACATTTTCAAATGTTACTCGATTGAAGAGTTTTTTAAATAAAGTTGAAGAAACACCAACGAAAGTCCAAAAATATTTGAGTTGTTTAAAGCTAACATCAGTGATTTGGTCGGCAATTGATTGGATATAATTAAATAATTTTTCTGTATATCTATTTAAAATATTGAATTTGAAATTGATTTGAGCTCTGAGCTCTAACTGAAACAATTTTTCAAAAACCACCATAATATTTTATAACTAAAATTTGCACATAAATCTCTATATAACGTGCTCATCTTTAAATCAGTTCTTTATTATATATTTTAAGAACTTTATTAGTTATTATTCTTTAAAATAATTAATTAGTCTTTTAACGTTAATTATGTTTTGTTGTCTGTTAACATTGAAGTAAGAAACATTATTTTATCTTTTGAAAATTTATTTTATACAGCGAATCATTTCATTATTATTAGTACAAGTAAAGATGAATTGAAAATGTTCTTGTTCCCTTGAAATCGAAAATCAGAGTCCATTACAGTGAGGTTAAAATTAGAAAAGTTGGACCTTACCGATACGAATTAGTGAATATCTTGCTAAGAGAGTAGCTGCTTTATTGCTTGCTTTAACTGGCTATAAAAAGGTGTTGAAAGCATTGCTCAAGGCGTGTTATATTAGAGTTGAGTTTAAATAGTTTCTATAAACTTTTTGAAATTAAAGCGCCTATAGTTTTCTTCAATTTATCTATAAAATAACGTGTTTATTCTAAGCAATGAGCCACTAAGAAACAAATGCTTGCTGCATTCCTCTGTAATAACATACGTACTTTTTATTATGAGTTTTTATTAATTATTTATTAACTTTTATGACACTCAATCTTAAAACTTGAACTTATACTGATTTCTTACATTTTACTTAAAATGAACTTAGCTAAGGCCTCGTAGCTGCGCTGCCAGAGACGCCGGCAGCGGAGCGGCCGCATTATGTATTTTACTTATGTATTTGTACTCAGCGCTGTTGGCAGCGAGAGCGCGAGGGAGAATGTTATGTGCACTTGAGGTGGCTGACACTAGTTGCACTGACGCTGCACTTATGCATGTGCGATCATATTACATCGCGTCCGAATTATGCTTGGCTTTTTGAATTAATTTATTCACTGCAATAAAGTGTTACAGTGTATGTTCTTAAGAGTGCACTGCGTACAGTGTGTACTCCTTATGTATGCACACTACATCTCCCTCCTTTTGAAAAATAACGTAATATTATGAAGTTATTTTCTAAATTATTTATCTATTAATTTCATGTATATCTAGTTGTGAAATATGTTTATATCTTTATGATTCGTTTCTTATTAATCTATTTGTTTTGTTTGTTTAATAATGTTTTTAAAGGGAAAATTGATATATGTATGTATATACTTATTTGTATGTATAAATTTTGTTTTTTTTTTTTATCTTATTTTTATTTTATTTTATTATTTTTTTTTTATATGTATATGTATATATATATATTTTTTTCTTTCTATTATTATTTTTTTTCGATGGAATCATAGAAAATTGATGTATATTTTTTTTTGTATTTATTGATATTTATATATATGTATTTATGCTTGTGTATGGCCATACTTCAAGTTACGAATTAAAAATCTTTAACCTATCCTTATGTACTGTTTGTTTTTTGTCTTTATTATTTGATATTATTATGTTATTATTTTCTTCTACTTTTTCTACCTTATATGGTCCTGTATATTTAAAATCTAGCTTGTGACCTGTTTCATTTTTCAATAGAACCTGGTCTCCTATTTTTAACTTCAGATCTAAACTATTCTTGTCATAACTAATTTTCTGTTTATGTTTATTTGACTCTAGCATTAATCTTGCTCTTTTCAAAGCTTGTTCTATCCTAAACTTAGATTCCTTAGCATAATCTTCTATATTGTAAAGTGGTTCTATTCTATCTATGCTATTGAAATACTCTGGTAAATTTGAGGTTCTACCAAAAACTAGCTCATATGGACAGTAATCATGTGCCATTGAGGGTGTAGTATTAAAAGAATATACGAAGTACTGTAACCACACATCCCAATCTGATTTGTCGACTGAGATGTATGACCTGATGAACTCATTAAATGTTCTGTGGCTTCGCTCCACGGTTCCTACAGTCTGGTGATGATGTGCAGTAGATGTTATGTTTTTAATATTTAGATTTTTACATAAATCTTCAATTATTGAATTCTTATACTCTGTTCCCATGTCCGTAATGAACGTCTTCATTGGACCGTACTTCAGAATAAAATGTTCAAATATAGCCTTGGCTACTGTCTTTGCACTTTTGTTCTCTATTGGTATGGCTACAAGGTATTTTGTTAAATCGCAGATTAAAGTTACTGCGTATTCATTTCCTTTTTCTGACCTAGGTAGTGGACCGATCGTATCCACAATTACCCTATCGAAAGCCTTTATTGGCGTATCTGTTATTATCAATGGGGCTCTGGTATGTTTAGTCGATTTCGACTTTTGACATTTTCGACATTTTTTTATATAATTTGTAATGTCTCTTGTTATATTTTTCCAGTAATAATGCCTTTTTATTTTTGCCATTGTTCTTGCTATACCCGTATGGCCTCCTTGTATTGGATCGTCATGGAATGTAAACAGTATTGCTTCTTTTTCTTTTTCTTTATTTATTTGGGTCACCGGCTTGAGTAGCGCTACTCTTAATGATTTCAATATTTTATTGCCCATTTCTTTAAAAGATTCTATTGAAGTTGTTTCAAAAATCTTTTCGCTCGGTGCCACTTTGAGTCGGCTGATATTAAGCACACCGGCTTGCCTTTCAAGCCTTTGGAAGAACTGACCTAAGTCGAGAATTCCATTGGAGTACATATCGCTAACATCAATTCTTGCTATGACTTTTTTTCCATGCTTTAGTAAACATGTTGAATCTGTCGTACGCAAGGTCACTACTTTTCGTACCTCGTCATTTATAATGACTTCGTATACGTTGGGCTTTGAAGCTTTATTTTTAGTTTGCTTATGCAAATCTACTTTGTCTTTCTCTGCGCAGAGATTTTTCTGTTTACTTTGATTTCTTGTAGTGACTTTTAGTATTTTGTTTCCTTTATGTATATCTTTTAAGTCTGTTATAGTTATTCTCGACAACGCATCTGCTATATGGTTGTCTTTTCCCTTGAGGTATTCAACTGTGAAATCATACTCCTCTAAGTCAAGTCTCATGCGCGTCAGTTTTGAGCTCGGGTTCGTCATTGAAAACAAGTAAGTTAAGGGCCTATGATCGGTTTTGACTGTGAAGTGTCTGCCATAAATATATGGTCGAAAATGGTTTATTGCCCAATGGATGGCTGCCAGTTCTTGCTCCGTTGTATTTTTGTTACTTTCCCCTTTTGTAAACGATCTTGATGCATACGCTACTGGCAGTTGTGTCCCATTATGATTTTGGGTCAGTACAGCTCCACAAGCTTGTTTACTCGCATCCGTCGTTATGCAAAATTCTTTGCTAAAATCTGGGTACTGCAACAACGTAGGCTTCATCAACTGGACTTTTAAATATTCGAATGCTTTTTGACATTCACCGGTCCACTCAAACTTAACATTCTTTCTACATAATCTTGTTATGTGCCGCGAATAATCGGCGAAATTTTTTATAAAACGTCTATAATAATTGCAGAATGCAACGAATCTTCTAGCGCTATCAGCGTCCGTTGGGACTGGGTACCTTTCTATGACATCATATTTCTTGCTGTCTGGCAAAATACCCTTATCAGTACACTTATGGCCCAAAAAGGTTACCTCGTGCCTGAAGAATGAGCACTTTTCGGGGTGCAATTTAAGGTTGTGTTTTCTACACAAATCAAAAACGCTTGTAAGATTCTTAATCATATGTTTTTCTGAACACCCGATGACAATCAGGTCATCCATATATAAGAATGCCTGAGTAGGTTCTATACCCGAAAATGCGATTGTCATCATTCTTTGAAATGAATTTGGTGCTATTTTTAAACCATATGGTAATCGCGTGAAGCGATAAGAGCCATTGCTCGTGGAAAAAGACGTTATGTTTCTGGAGCTTTCCTCAAGCTCTATCTGATGAAATCCTGACATCAGATCCAAACATGAGAAGTACTTAGCTCTACCCAATTGATCGAGAATATCATCAATTCTGGGCAACGGAAACTTGTCGGATAAGATTTTTTTATTGATCTGGCGATAGTCAATCACCAAACGCCATCTTTTACTATCAGAACCCGGCAATGACTTTTTTGGAACTATCAATAATGGGCTATTATATTCTGAGACTGACGGTTCT